ACTGATACTCGAGCAAACTCTGCTCTAACTGTCGACTAGCAGTGGGAGTCAGATTGCCCCCTAGTGGATGGCTAAAGATTTGTTAACTCGTATTCATAAATTCTCAAGGGAACGTCTCTGAATTAACTGATGCTCGCGCCCCCCTTGACAGTTGCTGGCGCCCCCCTGGGGGGGCGCGCCCCACAGTTTGAAAACCCCTGATCTAGGACACTAGGGATCCACTTTCTGCTTTGCAAACTCACAGTCACTCTACACACACACACACTCACACACACACACATACACACATACACACATACACACACACACACACACACACAGTGTGTTTGCAGAGGCGTGAGGTTTGTTTCGTTGTGTGTCTGTAGCCGAGTGGCAGATGTAGGTCTGTGTGTCCTCAGAGACGTGTGTGTCTGCCACAACCGATATCACATCAGTCACAGCAAACATGAGCTGGATTCTGGGGCGTTGCTATGCGGTTGCTAGGGTGTTTGTAGCTGTTTTCTTCCTGTCTGGTGTGAATAGTGTCTCTGTGATTTTCTGGTCTGTAGATGTGTGATTTTTCAGCTGTTTTATGGTTCAGCAGCACACTCCTCAAAACACACATGATTTGATAGACACACATCTGGTGTTGTACTGTTTTGAGCTCATTACCGTGTGTGTGTGAGTGTGTGTGTGTGAGTGTACCTACTTAACCATATTTTGGGGACAAATTTGTACCCAAAATTGAGTTAAACCTAACAAAATCTCCAAAAAGCTCCCTTTGGGGACGTCCTCATTTGTAAAACTGGTATAAAAATAAAGTAAACAAAAGTTTTTTTTAAATTGTAAAAATGCAGAATGTTTCCTGTAAGGGGTAGGTTTAGGGGTAGGGTTGGTGTAGGGCAATAGAATATACAGTTTGTACAGTATAAAAACCATTATGCCTATGGAATGTCCTCATTTAGTGCGTGCGTGCGTGTGTGTGTGTGTGTGTGAGAGAGAGAGAGTGTGTGTGTGTGTGTGTGTGTTTGTGTGACAAGTTATGTAACAAAAAGTACAATCAGTGATTGCACTCATATGAAGAGGTTTATGTGCATTTGATTGACATTTAATGTTGTTATTATTATTGTTTATTAATTAGCAATGTAGACAAAATTTGTTTAAATATCCAATAACCGAGAGCCTCTGCGAACAGTTTGTTGCTTCTGCTGGTTTAACACACTCAGATAGATTCTTCTCTTCTCAAGCTTGCTTTCTAATCTAGTAGTCTTATAAACCTGGCGTTATGAGTTATGACTATTGCTGACTCTTTGATGAATTGCTTTGTTCCTCTTTTTTTTGTGACTTTTAGTGACGTGACGTGGCCAAGTATGGTGACCCATACTTGGAATTAGTGCTCTGCATTTAACCCATCCTTAGTACACACACACACACACACACCGTAAACACACGCCCGGAGCAGTGGGCAGCCATTTATGAAACTACAGAATCTACATACTGCAAACCAGGCTCAGATATAAAGAGAAAACACTGGAGAAAAGATGCACATGAAGTATGAGGACTGCAGAATTCAGCAGATCTGTCTGTAGCATTTTCAGTAGTGACTGCCATCCTGATGAGTCTGAACATGAAGAAACCTCAGCTGCAGAAACCGAGTGAAAAGCTGGGATTGTATGTAGATTGTGTAACACCTAATAAACACTTCAAGTGAAAGAACAGAGCCAGAGCGCTTCCGTTATAATCAACAAGCCCCAGACACGGCGTGAACGAGAGATTTACTGTGAGACTGCGGTAGCTTTGTCAAAAATGTTGATTTTTACTGAAATATTTAAAATGGTTCAATATAGCTTTTCTACAGTATCGATGCACAGATACCAGCTGCGTTTCCTTTCTCTCCGACAGTGCTTTATTTTCACATTCACATAATATTCAACAGTTGATTAAAGCATTTGGCTGGATGTCTGCCAAAATTAAAAGGCTTTAACTCTTGCAAATAAATTAAGACATAAGTATTGTAATTTTCTACTGTAAAAATGTCTTACTTGGATACTGTTCAGATGTTATACACTTAATGTTGTAGCAGCTTTTCACCACGTATCAAAAATAGTATTGAATATTGATATTTTTCAAGGTATCACATCAAAGTTGAACTTGCACCGCAGGACTCAAGCTACGCTCATATGAACCCTGTACAAGAAACTCAAGGCTTAATTGCCAATAGTTTCAACAGAGGCTCGACAAACACAGAGATATGCAGAGTGAATGTACACTGATACTGTTGTCAGAAATCACATCAAATCAAGCATGACAGTCCTTATATCTGCTGACGCTCGTGGTGTGCATCAGGCGCAGAGTTGCAGCTGTAAAGCTTCCTCCTCCTCTGTTCATCTGCAGGAGAATCACTGCCGGCGGATCAAGATTCTGGGCGACTGCTACTACTGTGTGTCTGGCCTGACGCAGCCCAAGACGGATCACGCTCACTGCTGCGTGGAGATGGGTCTGGACATGATCGACACCATCACGTGAGTGTGAGCGCTGATGGAGGCTCTTCTCAAGGGCAGCAGCATGATGAGTTCCTCAGTAAATCTGGTGTTCAGTCACACGTATATGTGCAGTACTGCTTCCCCAGTCGCTCCTGTGAGGAGATTTCCACAAGCTTCAGTGCTGATGTGTCGGAGGATTGTTTCAGTGACAATCTGAATTATGATTATGAATGTTATGAAATGTACTGTTCCTACAGTGACTGTTGAATCTTCACCAAATCATCATCAGAACCGTGTGGAAAAAAGCTGTTGAAAGATTTCTCATTTGTGACCCTGGAGCACAAAAGCAGTGTTAAGTCGCTGGGGTATATTTGTAGCAATAGCCAACAATACATTGTATGGGTCAAAATATACATTTTTCTTTTATGCCAAAAATCATTAGGATATTAAGTAAAGATCATGTTCCTTGAAGATATTTTGTAAATCTCCTACCGTACATATATCAAAACTTAATTTTTGATTAGTAATATGCATTGCTAAGAACTTCATTTGAACAACTTTAAAGATGATTTTCTCAATATTTAGATTTTTTTGCACCCTCAGATTCCAGATTTTCAAATAGTTGTATCTCAGCCAAATATTGTCCTATCCTAACAAACCATACATCAATGGAAAGATTATTTATTCAGCATTCAGATAATGCACACATCTCAATTTAAAAAAATTGACCCTTAAGACTGGTTTTGTGCTCCAGGGTCACATATATCAAACTGTCTTTGTGTATTTGGGCTGATCTTTGAAACTTCTTTTGAAATAAAACCTCACCGACATGATCATGTACATTATGGAAACAGTGACATCGAAACGTAACTTCTTGAAGGGATCGTCCACCCAGAAATGATCATTTATTCTCCCTCGTGTGGCTTCAAACATGAATAATGTTCTCTCTTATGTGAAGCACAAAAGAACATTTGAAGAATCTTCCATCTGCTGTTGTCTGTGCTGTAATAGTCAACGGGCTTCAGAGTTTCTTGTGGAACCCAGCAACAAATCACACAAAACTTTATATGTGCTTTAGTAGCCATCTGCTGACAGCACCATATCAGTTTGATGACAGCGCCACCTGCTGGTTACAGAAGTCTGGAATAATAACGTTTTTTAGAAGTCCCTTCTGCTCACCAAGGCTGCATTTATTTGATTAAAAATACAGTAGAAACAGAAATATTGTGAAATATTTTTACTATTTAAAACAGCTGTTTTCTATGTGAATATCTGTTAAACTGTAATTTATTTCTGTGATGCGCAGCTGTATTTTCTTCAGTGTCACATGATCTTCAGAAATCATTCTAATATGCTGATCTGCTGCTCAAGAAACATTTCTGATTATTATCAATGTTGAACACAGTCGTGCTGCACAATATTTTTGTGGAAACCGTGATACACTACCATTCACAATTTATTTATTTGTTTTAATTAATCAAATATGCATTAAATTGCTCAAAAGTGACAGTGTTTCTATTTCAGAAGATTTATATTTCAAATAAATGCTGTTCTTTTGAGCTTTCTGTTCATCTGTGAATCCTGAAAAATAAAATGTATCACAGTTTCCACACAAATATTGTTCAACATTGATAATAATCAGAAATGTTTCTTGAGCAGCAAATCAGCATATTAGAATGATTTCTGAAGATCATGTGACACTGAAGACTGGAGGAATGATGCTGAAAATACAGCTGCGCATCACAGAAATACATTACACTTTAACAGATATTCACATAGAAAACAGCTGTTTTAAATTGTAATAATATTTCACTGTATTTTTGATCGAGTAAATGCAGGCTCAGTGAGCAGAAGAGACTTCTTTCAGAAACATTAAAGAATCAGATTTATTCCAGACGTTTGATCGCTAGTGTAAATAGTATGACTTATGGAAGTTGAACCCACTTGTCATGTGAATCTTCATTGCTCATCAGGTGAGTGACAGTGACAGAAAAACTGCATTCAGACACTGAGCTGGTGAGCGTGATTGTGTTCTTCAGATCGGTGGCTGAAGCTACAGAGGTGGATCTGAACATGCGTGTGGGTCTGCACACGGGACGGGTGCTCTGTGGTGTGTTGGGCCTCAGAAAGTGGCAGTATGACGTGTGGTCCAACGACGTGACGCTGGCCAACGTGATGGAGGCTGGAGGACTGCCGGGGTGAGGATCTCAAGCAATCAGCATCACACTCCTCTCCAGAACCCTGAGCTGTCTGAGAGCTGTTTGTCCTCTCGTCTGCTTGTTCTACAGGAAGGTGCACATCACTCGTGCCACGCTGGACTGTCTGAATGGAGATTACGAGGTGGAGCCGGGAAACGGCCGCGAGAGACACTCGTTCCTGCTCAAACACGACATCGAGACCTTCTTCATAGTGCCATCTCACCGCAGGAAGGTGTGTGTGCGCTTTACTGGGAACCTTCTCGTGTTTTAGAGATATATCAATGTCTATGGAACATTCTTTAATGTTTGATATACATATAATGTTATATTTTGGGTGAAAAGTTAGTAGAATATTTGAAGAAACATTTTCTAACTTTTAAATAACGTTATAATCACAACAAGAAAACTGGAAATGTTAATGTTTTAGTAATTTTGGTAACACTTTATATTAAAGAGCAATTCTCACTATTAACCAGCATGCATATTACTAGCAAACTGGCTGTTTATTAGTACTTATAAAGCACATATTAATGCCTTATTCTGCATGACCATAATCTAGATCCCTTAACCCTCACACATAAACTTAACTATTAATAAGCACCAAGTTAGGATTTAATGAGGCAAAAGTCATAGTTAATAGTGAGAACTGGACCATAAAATAAAGTGTGACTGCAATTTTTAAAAACAATGTTCTCACAATGTTTTTATAACCTAAATTTGTCACTTGGGCGCATTTATTCATGCCATAGTATATGATCACAGTCATCAACAAACTACAAAAATAACAACAATGATCAACTATACATTAACTACAAAAATGAATTACCAGCGTTCAGTGTACAGTAGATGTACAGCTTGGCTTTATTTGTTACTATAAATTCTCCACAGAAAGTTACTTAGTGTCATTTCAGAATACAGCATGAATTTACAAATGATAGCTGTGCTTCACAGACTGTTATTATTGTGAATATGACTGACATGGTTTGAGTTGTTTTCTTTCCAGATTTTTCCTGGTCTGATCCTGTCAGACATCAAACCTGCCAAAAAGATGAAGTTTAAGACGGTGTGTTACTTGCTGGTGCAGCTCATGCACTGCCGCAAGATGTTCAAGGCCGAGATTCCCTTCTCCAGCGTCATGAGCTGTGAGGACGGGGACAAGGTACGATACACTGAGAAAATCAATGCTGATTGATGTCATGCTGTCACTCTCACAGCCTCATCATGTGGTCATGTGATCGTGTCTGTGATTGGCAGAGGAGGGTGCTGCGCTCCGCGCCGGAGAAGCTCAGGAACCGTTCCTCCACAGCAGCTAACGCGGCTCCGAGCAGCCCGGGGACACGGGTCAACCGCTACATCAGCCGTCTGATCGAGGCCCGGCAGACGGAGTCCGACACGGCCGACCTGCACTACCTCACGCTCACCTACAGAGACTCGGAGCGAGAGCGCAGGGTGAGAGCCAGTGTCACCGCGTCACGTGCGGAGCTTAAACTGGCCTGTTGTTGATGTATGTGTCTGAGTTACTGTAGTATGATGCAGATTATAGTATATGACGCCACTATAAGCACTGGTTTTACAGACATAGGGCATTCAAACACTGCAACACTGAGTCCTAACCAGAATAAGATGAAATAAGAATGTAGTGCACAAGTAATTTGTCTGTCCACACCAAGCGGCAACCTCCCGCTCTCTCTCGTGAAGCCAACACGGAAGTGACTAAAACTGTAATTCATCGACTGGCCGCTAGAGGCTGGCTGCAAAAGAGAGTCAGTCCCATAGACTCCTCATGTTAAAATGCCCAACATTACAGCAGAAAAAAACATGTTTACAGCCTGGTACAAAAAAATGATTTTGGTCTATATAGCTAATTTTGCCCTTCATGACAACTGTGAGGGGGGTGATTTTTTTATAACTCATCCGTTTAAATTATATTAAGCCTTAAAGTTTTGCATAATTAAGGGCGTGGCCACTTGAGTGACAGGTGGATTGCCGCTGCTGTCACCACCGTTGAGCTAGGTGGGCGTGGTTTCAGCAACCAGCTCCCGCCTCTTTGCCCATTTTCGATTATCCACACTACGTCCATGTTTTTATACAGTTTATGGTCCACACCAGACATGACAAAATCAATCAGCCAATCAGAAGAGCATGTGGGCGGGTCTCTCTCTGCAAGTGCACTGCACTCACAACAAAATGAAAGTACATCAACAAATTCCTAATTATTAAACCATTTTAACATTGTTAAAAAACACACACTGAATGACTGAAGCAGTCATTGTCGTGGAATACACTTGTTTGATTACAGTGAGTTTAAAAGTACCTGTTTCCTATCATTTATTTTCAAGATCTGATCTCACATTTAGAATGGCTATAAAGGTATTTAAACTCACATTAGACCCTTTTAACATGAAATAAACCATATAATTGGCATCATTGTCATAGTTTGTATGGTATTGTTCCACCTTTAATCAGGTGTCGTGTTGTGGCGTTGTGTCACGTCTGGTAAGGACACAGTGTAAACTTCAGTAATCCCCCAAATTTTGGTTCACAGAATGTTATGGGAACGTTCCCAAAACATGCTTTTTTAAAGTTTCAGGAAAGTTTTAATTGCACGGTTAGTTGCAGGGTTGTAATAATATAACCTAAAATAAACCATTAGGGAATGTTCTGCATGCGTTCACTTTAGGTTACTACAAAAAAATCTCCCTGCAACGTTCTGGAAAAATTAGTTTTTGGTTACAAAAAAGTGAACCTATGGAGAACCTTCGCAGAATGTTCCTACACTCTAAAAAATGCTGGGTTGTTTCAACCCAACTTTGGGTCAAATATGGACTAACCCAACCGTTGGGTTAAATTTTGACATTAAATTTTTAATCCAAAAGTTGGGTTAGTCCATATTTGATCCAAAGTTGGGTTGAAACAACCCAGCATTTTTTAGTGTATTTGGTTCCTAAAGAAAATAACAAAACGGGAAGCTCGTGGGAACATTAGGGGAATGTTCTGAGTTTGCTGTTAACGAGCTGAATGATGTGTATTTGATCTGCTGTAAGTGGTCCGTGTTTTTCAGCACGTTTATGTTTGAGCGTGACGTGTGCTGTGTTTCTGCAGTATCATCAGCTGAATGACGAGTACTTCACCGGCGCTGTGCTTCTGTCTCTCGTCCTCACGGCTCTGATCGGCATCCTCTACCTGCTCATCATGCCACAGTACGTACAGCAGAGCGTCACTACATCACACCGACACAGAAACACACGCATGCTCAGACGTATTGAAACACTTCCTTCTAGTTACAGGTCTGGTTATTTCAGTGAAAGCAGATCTCAACAAACAATGAAGGAGAGCTAAAAAAATAAGGCAAAAAGTGAGAGAACAAAACCAAAACACAACATACGCGTGACACACATACAGTGATATTCCAGAGAATGCAGTGTTTCAGACATTCATACAGCAGTTTGTCGAGGCTCCGTTTCTGTTCCAGCATGATTATTAGGTAAATAAACACAATTCTGAGAAGTCCAAATTCTGCAATTGTGAGAAACCTCTACCTGCTCATCATGCCACTGTACGTACAGCAGAGCGTCACTCCATCACACCGACACAGAAACACACGCATGCTCAGACGTATTGAAACACTTCCTTCTAGTTACAGGTTTGGTTATTTCAGTGAAAGCAGATCTCAACAAACAATGAAGGAGAGCTAAAAAAATAAGGCAAAAAGTGAGAGAACAAAACCAAAACACAACATACGCGTGACACACATACAGTGATATTCCAGAGAATGCAGTGTTTCAGACATTCATACAGCAGTTTGTCGAGGCTCCGTTTCTGTTCCAGCATGATTATTAGGTAAATAAACACAATTCTGAGAAGTCCAAATTCTGCAATTGTGAGAAAAAATTCTGAAGTGTGAGATAAAAAGTCGTTTTTTATCTTAAAACCTTAAAAGTTGCAATTACCTTTTTCGTTTTTGATTCTATGGCAGAAAAAAACTCAGAATTGCATGATGTAAACTCAAAAATCAGAGGAAAAAATCAGAATTGCATGATAAAAAGTCGCAGTTGCGCAGAAACAAACGCCCATACCTTATGTCTGGCACTCTGAAGTAAAAAAATGTTAAATAGCACAGTAATAGCCACGTCAGACAGGAAAACTAAAGCACGTCATCCGAGCAGATGAAGGAAATGCGTTCATGTTGACGTGTACGTGAGAAGCAGGCGTCCTCACAGTCTTCACTCTTCTGTGCATTTATGGTTATTTTCATGTCTTGTGTTGTTGTTCTCAGGGGGACGGTCGTGTTGGTGTTGCTGGTCTTCTGCATCTGTTTTCTGGTCGTGTGTATCGTGTATCTGCACATCACTAGAGTTCAGGTAAAAACTCACTCAGTGCCAGCTGAACCATTATAGTGTCATTTTCAGTTTCAAGTCCTTTTTAACATTTTATAGGCCAGATTTTCTTTGCCTTTACATTGTCTTAAGTGTCTTCATTCAATCTTGACAGTAGGTTTTTAACGCCAAAAGAAGGTTTGTACTGCTGCAAGCTGTTAGTAAATCTGGCCCTAAACATTATTTTCTTAGCGTGTAGTGCAGTAAAGGTTTTTATACGGTGGCTGTAAATGATATCTATATAAAGTTGCATTAAAAGGGTAATGCAAAAAAAAGGGTAAATCTTGACTGTAAGTTGACTAATTCATATTTTGTAAGCTGATCTTCCATCATGCGTGTTTGTTAATATCTGTCTGTGTCTCAGTGTATTCCAGGGTGCCTCAGCATACAGATCCGGACCGTCCTGAGTGTGTTCATAGTGCTCTTAATATACGCCATGGCCCAGGCCTGTGTGGTAACTCACTCTTACATCACTGCACTCACTGCTGATCTGACATTAGTGCTCAGGTTTAGTCAGTCTGATCAAAATCGAAGAGATTCAAAACACATGCACATGGGAACATAGGGAACGCTAGTGTTAGAGGAGCAAGTGTTTCTTAGATTTAGAATAGAGAGTGCTAGAGTTAGAGGGTCAAATATAACCAAGAAGAAACGTTCTGAATACATTAAGAACCCGTCTCTGTGTGTGTGTCAGGTGGGCTGCATGCCGTGGCTCTGGCCAACTAACTCCACACGCTCCATTGTGATCATCGACGTGTCCGCAGGCCTGAACCGCACCATGGCTGAGCTGCCGTGTGAAGGAGCGCAGTACGCCTTTCTGTGCTGCATGCTGGGGATGCTGACCGTGGCGTTGTTCCTGCGAGTGTCCTGGCTGTCCAAACTCCTGCTGCTGCTGCTGCTGCTGCTGCTGTACATCACCGTGCTGGAGCTCAGCGGATTCAGACGCTCATCGGGGTGAGAGACGCTCCACACCAAACACACAAACCGTCAGCAGGACTTACTGATAAAGCTGGTCAGCTGCTGAGCTGAATCTCACTTATGGTGTGTGCTTGTGAGTGCAGGATGGTGTTGTTGAGCGCTCGCGGTCTGGAGCCCGTCCTCTCTCTGCTGCTGTTCTCCACCGCACTCGCCCTTCACTCCAGACAGATGGAGCTCAAGCTGCGGCTGGACTTCCTCTGGGCCACTCAGGTACAGCAGAGCATCACACACTCCTGATACTGCAGTCACAAACAAAGAAAACCTCCCATCATCATCCATTCTGCACACTGCCTGTCCTCCATACGGTCACGGGATGCTTGAGTCGTTTTCAATGTTTTCACGTTTTTGGAAGAAGGCTGCATTTATTTGATCAAAACACAGTATAAACCAGGGTTGTGATAGTTCATTAAAACTAAAACTGAAACAAAAATTAAAACCATTGAAAAACATAATAACAAAATAAATCTTAACTAAAACGAAATACAATGTAAAAAATCTAGCTTCCATTTTAATTTAGTTCAACTTTATGTACTAAAGTAACTAAAACTGAAATGAAAATTAATATAAACTTTATAGTCATGAGAAATGAAAAAATGACAAAACACAACAAAATTACTACAACTTTGACTAAAATCAAAATTAAAACAAAAACAATTATTCAAAATATTAATATTGTAAATATTAGTACTGTTAAATATTATTACAACTTAAAATAGCTGTTTTCAATGTGAATATATTATAAAAATGCTGAATTTGTAAAACAAAGCTGAATTTTCAGCATCATTACTCCAGTCTTCTGTCACATGATCTTCAGAAATTATGTACATACAGTATGGCTTTAATATTTTCATTATATTTCATTATATTATCATTATATAATAATATTTGCCTAGTCATTGCTGCAATTGACTAAAAATAAAGTGTGTGTGTGTGCGTGCGTGCGTGCGTGCGTGCGTGTGTGTGTGTGTGTCCGTGTGCGTGTGCGCGTGTGTGTGTGTGAGTGTGTGTGTGTGTGTGTGTGTGTGTGTGTGTTCAGGCAGAGGAGGAGAGAGACGGCATGGAGAAAGTCAAACTGGACAATAAGAGAATCCTCTTCAACCTGCTGCCGGTTCATGTGGCTCAACACTTCCTGCTGTCTAACCCCAGAAACATGGTGAGAGCTCGCCTCGTCATCAGCTGCTGAGAGCTTCGATGGAGATGTTGTGCATCATGATCCCAGAGCTGATTGTGTGCTTGTGGTGTGGCAGGATCTGTATTACCAGTCCTATGCTCAGGTCGGGGTGCTGTTCGCTTCCATTCCCAACTTTAATGACTTCTACATCGAGCTGGACGGAAACAACATGGGTGTCGAGTGTCTGCGGCTGCTCAACGAGATCATCGCCGACTTCGACGAGGTCATCTCCCTTGCTGTAATTTAGAAATTTTGAATTAGATTTTTATTTTATTTTCCATTTTCATTTCAATTTTAGTTCGTTTTAGTAATTTTGTTGTGTGTTTTTGTCATTTTTTCTAGATTTTTATTTAAGTTTTAGTTATTTTAAAACATTAAGTTCAACTAAATTAATATGAGAAATGTTGCCTTGGCCACTATATTTTATTTTATTTCATTTCAGTTCAGGGTTATTATAGTTAACTAAAACCATAAAAACACATTTTCATTTCTTAAAATAAATGTTATTTGAAATAAAATGTAAAAAACTTAAACTTATTTTATTACAGCTAGTTAACAAGGCAACATTTCTCATTTCTATTTAGTCTAACTTGATGTACTAAAATACCTAAATAAATCTGGAATAAAACTTAATAAAGAATATATAAACATTTTAAAACAAAAACAAATAAAAATGTCTAAACAAGCATCAAAATTACTAAAACTTTAAAAAATAAAACTTGAACATAAAAGCTGAAAATATAAAAATATAATCTAATTCAAAATATTAACAAATATTATAATAGTATCTCAGTGATACTAAAATAACACTGTTTCAGTTAACATTGATTCCATTTCAAGCAACTTTTTTTTTTCAACCCTGCTCTGAAGCCATTTAATCTCCGTGTTGTAGCTGATGGACAAAGAGTGTTATAAAGACATTGAGAAGATCAAGACCATCGGCAGCACGTACATGGCAGCGGTGGGTTTGGTGCCCACCATCGGAACCAAGGTCACTGATTCAGCTACACTGGAAATAAAGCAGAGTAATACTTACAGAGCATCTGAGAACATGATTCATTTACTCCTTTACAGGCAAAGAAATCCCCGGAGGAGCACCTGAGCACCATCGCAGACTTCGCCATCGAGATGTTTGACGTTCTCGATGAAATCAACTATCAGTCATATAATGATTTTGTCTTGAGAGTGGGTAAGCTTTTATACATTTACACTGCCGTCTACAGATCAACTCCTGCAGCAAACCTGCAGTTTTCCTACCATTTGTAAAGGAAGTTTTCACAACCCTTCTGCTGGCTCTGTATTCTCAGTGAATGTTCTGGATGTTTTCTGATGGTTTATGTGTGAATGCTCAGGTATTAATGTGGGTCCGGTGGTGGCCGGGGTCATCGGGGCCCGCCGGCCGCAGTATGATATCTGGGGAAACACGGTGAACGTGGCCAGCCGCATGGACAGCACCGGAGTGCCTGGGAAGATACAGGTACTACATTCACTCGAAAGATAATTCTGTGACTGTGTGAATATCACAATAATGCATGCATTCTCTGAGAGCTGGACATACCTAAATAAATGCCTAAAAAACTGATTTCTCAGCATGCTTTGATACAGACTTTAAGGAGAGTTCATGTTGAAATTAAGTGTTTTTGCACAAAATAAATATAGCAGGAGATGTGTTAATAATTAAGATTCAAATGAAATAAGGTCACATTCATTTTAAATATTGGTTTTAAATTCAAAATATTTGAGTTAGCGTAACTTTTTGCGTCTACTCAATTTTATTTGTCATAGTCACAAAAATAGTTATTCAGATTCACTTAAATTTTTACTTGCATTTACTCAATTTATATGCTATATTTAATTGATTTTACTCCTTTAAATTTCACCCAGTATTTTTAATGTAAAATGTTTCACATCATAGTTTGTTTTTATAGTGCATATGATATATGATACATGTTTTCATGGGTGAATTTCACCAAAAACATGCCCATGTCACGTGTCAAAATCAAAAGAAAAAATACATCTTGCATGAAGAATGTAAAGCCTGTTTTTAGGACTATTTACATTTTTATAGTGTGATGTTGTTTGCATAGCAATAAAGTATTTTCCCCCTGAAAGGGTCATTATTGTAATGCAAACATTTTTTTTATTAAATTTATTTTTAATTAAATGTATACATCATGTAGCATTTATTGTACCTTCTTTCATTTGTGATGATTTAGCCATTGATAATAATAGGACTTACTAACAACCTCAGTAAAACATACATAGGCATTACAGTATTGAGAATTTGTGCTCATTATGTCATGATAAAACATGGTTCTGAAGTGGCTTTATTTCTGTATAAAGCAATAAGCCCCAAGAAGCTGTGGTTTACAGTGAATTTATAACATAAATTCTTAGCTGTTATAAATTCACTGTAAACCACGGCTTCACGGGGGTTATTGCTTTTATAAAACGGTTATTCCATATACGTAGTAAGGTTTCACAAAATAAAACCGAGCAAATAAAGTGTAATGATATTAATAAAAACAGTATTCTTCCACCAAACAATGTAGCTCCTCAGAAACAGTTGTGGTTGCAACAAAGTGGTTGCCGAGCAACACACAAATGTAAACAAAGGTGTATGTTACTTTGTAGAGTAATTTACAACAGCTTCGAACGCGGCTCAGCCAATCAGAATCAAGCACCGGAACTCTCCGTTTTATAATGCTAAATAACCTACAGTGCATGTTAATATGGACCTGGAATATGCCTACATAATTACACAAGCATGCACAAATGAATGTGTATGTGTAGTGTATTGATTTGAATATGCATGATCTTCCAGGTGACAGAGGAAGCGTACCGTCTGCTTCAGAGTGACTATGATCTGGTGTGTCGTGGCAATGTCAGCGTGAAGGGCAAAGGTCAGATGCTCACATATTTCCTGGAGGGTAAAGCGCAGGACGCGGGGAACCGAGCGCCGCATCACACCGGCGGCCTGGAGCGCAGGGTCCACGCCATCGCCCGCTCCAGCAGCACGCACACGAAAGCCGGCAGAACCTCGTCTGTGGCCTCGGGATTCGTGAGCAGCAGCTCTCCTGGGACACGCGGACACAGCGCCGCTCATGTGCCTACAGTCAGAGAAGAGCAGGAGGGCAAAGAGGGGGAGATGTAGGACCGGTCGCACACGATACGCACACTTCTTTACCATTAAAGACACAGAAGAGGATAACGTCTGCAGGTGGAAAGAATGAAACGTCTTCCCTTTATTCACCTTCTCAAAACACGTGAACGGATCTTCACTGCACGCTCTTTTAAAGACCGTCTTCTTTGGTCACTTTTATCAGTTCTCCTGGATAAATTCAGGTACTGTCCTGCATTTCTTTCCCAGTCGAATCATGGAATTTGGGCTTGGGAATGCCGTTCCACGCTGATTCTGTTGCGCTGCAGGAGCGTTCAGAGCCTCGCATGATCTTCAGCAATGTGTCATCTCTCAAGTTTTATGCCAACTTCTTATATGAGCTGTACATAGTAGATGTTCTTACAATCAGAGCTTGTGTATTTTTTGTATTGAACTCTCCAGTGCATTTGAATGAGTGTGATAGCGTGTGAATGAGATGCATTTATAACACATAGAGCAGCAATAGAAGCAGGACATGCTCTGCATCAGTGCACTAGATTGTGATTTCATATTCATTCACTCTCACACACTCTTCATCTTCATCACGTCACAGAGCCCCGCTCACACGTTTCTAAAGGTTGAGACTGGAGAAATCAAAGAGCTCTATCTTGATGACACATTTACACCTGTACTCTGATTTCAGAAAATAATAATAATAATATAAATATATAAGTATAAACTGTTTCAAAGCAGCATGTGTATATAGAACAAGAGAAATCAGGGAGTTTGATAACAGCCTAAAGAAAGCTTCTTCATCATCATCATCATCATCCTCGGCTGCAGTCACTCGGACAGACTGTTCTGAAACTATAAACTACAATCTGACATCTATATTCATGCATACAGTGGAGTCCAAACATCTGACACTGCATTCAGTTTCACATTTTTGCCATTTATTTGAAATTTGTATTACAAATATCTTTTTCATACCTTAATGGGAATGTTAACATAACGCTCGTAGAACTTATTTTTGTCAGCTGGCTATTCATTAAATGTTGTAACTTTATTTAAATGATTTAAAGGATGTTTTGAATCTCAGATTGATTGTCAGTGTGGTGTCAGGTGTGTGTATGTAGTGATAAAGTGTGTGATTAGCAGGGACAAACCTGCACAGGCTGAACATGTGCCAATTATATCGAATCTCAATCTGAAGTGCAATGATCGGACACGATTCTGTCATCAGCATTCATTGTAATAATATCAGCATCACATTCACATGCAGATGAAACGTGACTGAAACTATCAAATACTATATGCTTTATGCTGTTAGAGAGCTATGTGCAGAAGAAGTTTTCACTCATGATGAGACTGTTACCTGAGTGAGGCGGATGGTTTGATGTTAACGAGGTCAGTTATGTGTAGTCTATGTGGGCACAAGAGTGCAGTGACCAGCTACTGACACGGAGGTCAACAACCCGCCCATGAGGAATGCTGCGTCACACACACACACACACACACACACACACACACATAGATTTCTGTAGACTGGTGTGTGTTTACAATCACAAACCTCTGAGACTGTTTGTGAGGAAAAACAATGACTCTTTCTATATTTCTGTGGCAAATGTTTATTTTCATGCTGATGTTTTGAATCATGACGCTTTTCTTCAGGGTATGAATCGGTCTCTCAGTCGCTCTCTGTACTGTCAATACAGTATTCTTGCCTTATTTGACACGCTTGCGGTGATTGAAGTCAGTTGCCTTTTAGCTCTTTGATATTCAGAAATGTATTTTGTAAATACAACGATGTATGATATACTGTCCTTTGAACAGTGCAAACCTGAGCAATATAAGATTTTGTAATAAAGCGAGTATTGAAGTACAACGGTTTAGTGATTTCCTGTTTGTGTGACACTTAAGTCATAAATGTGTCGTTCCTGTTTGTGTTCCGTGTGTACTTGTTTTGTAGTCCTTTAGTTTGTAGTTTTGCTTTGTTCCCCGGATTGTTTGCTGGTGCATCTAGTCGTTTATAAGCCCTATGATTCCTGTGTTTATCGTCTGGTCTTGTCTTTCTATGGCTGCTTGTTGAGTTTGATCAGTTCTGTTTTTTATGTTTCCTAGTTCCTGTGTTTTGTATCTGATGATGATGATATTTATTGTTGAAATGTATGTCTGCATTTGGATCCTCTCTTGTTGTCTGCATTCACCCCAGCATTACAAGACCAAACCCCTTTACACACTTCTGCTGTCATATTAATTAATTCTCAATGACTTAATGTCATATTAATGACAGCGATGCTTCTTCTAGATGACTCGAGTCACTGGATTCCATCTCTTCACATTCATAATGAGAACATGATCACACTAAATCAGTGGTTCTTAGGTTCTCCTGCTCTTGGGGATCCCACACATTCCCTTATTTGAGAGGCTCAGTTCAGTTCATGGATCTCTCTCCTAACGAGCTGATGATCTGAATCAGGTGTGTCAAATAAGGGAGAAACATGCAGAGCAGTGGGTCCCTGACCAGGATTAAGAACCACTGCACTAAATGGATTCAGTAATGAATCACGCTGTGATGTTGCAGATATTTAATCATGCATTATTACACTTAAAATAAATGCAGAAGAAAAGGCTATTTGTAAACGTGTCAGTCATCAAAAACATATACACAATATTGACTCATTTGTAAGTGTGTTTTCCTCATCTTTCATGTGCCAAGTTCTTAGAAATGCACAATTTTTATACAATTGAAGAGAACTGTCAATGTAACGTTATGCTTGAGCAGTTGCACAATCTAAACTGAGCTAACTTTGCCTGATATTCTTTGTCTGATATTTGAAGAGACAATCCTCAGGTTCAGCATGGCTCCTCTCTATCAAATCACTTTCTTTATCTTATGCATCTTTCAGTAGTCGCAGGACACGACTTTTAAAATATGAATGAGCAGTGAAGCGGTTTTGATAAAATATTTTTTCCAAGAATTAAAAATAAATGCAAATGCCAAACTACTTACTTTTCAGGAATTTCATTTTTAAGTTTCGTTCTTTTCTCATTATGATTTCAGGACAGTTGTATCATCCTGAAATTTTAGATTTTAAACAATTGTTTTTTGTATTATTTAAGCAGCTGAAGGACGTTCTCGTTGCGTCACTCCGAGCACGTGGAGCCTAACCCTAACCCAACCATCAGACCAGCAAACACTGCAGTTTAACCCTCGGAGAGTTTAGGGCGCATACTGGATACCAGAAAATCCTCGTCTATCTCAGCAGATCATTCAGTCCTGCAGTCGTCTCTCAGGGTGTGTGCGCTCCAACCAAACGCCGTAGCGTTCATATAGAAACACACTGAAGCCAACGGGTCAGCAGCGCTCACATCTCTGGGTTAAACTGCTAAGTTAACGTGTAGTCTGTACAGAGAAATATCTAGGTGCCCCAGGTTTAAAAAAAGAGCGTTAATTAATTTTGGGAACATTGTTTGGTTTTGTTTTGAAATGTTTCTAAAACATTGAAATGCCCAGATTTCTTGTTTTGATTAAAACACTATTTAAAGGTTATTGCTTTCAACACATTTTATGTTGTTCGCTTAAATTGTTCTCAATGCAAAAATAAAACAACTATTTTATTTTATAGCTGACCATTGAATGAAGATCCCTGAGACAGAGTCCAGGGTACCCAGGGCGGTTGCTAGGGTGTTGCTATGCGGTTGCTAGGGTACCCTTAGGGAAGTGGACACAGCAGACACATCTTCTGCTGAGAATTTCGTCTCTCTTGACATCTGAGGTCGTCATTTGTATTCGTAATTTTTCCATATTTTTTTCGCCTGCCAGCAAAGTCAAAGTCAGAAGTTTAATTCTCCATCTCCAGTGGCCTGTTTTCGTTCTTCTTGCACAATCTATGGCTGGACTTGTGTGGGTGTGATGCAAATGATGTGCTCGTGGCATGTGTGCGTTTAGGCACTGATGGACCTAGAGCAATCCTGAAGAACATCAGCCGTGTTTGTTTGAGATGACAAGCAAAGCTTGAACTCATAAGATGTGCTCACCATTAAAGCTTGATTCAATCAATAATGAATCTGATGTCTTCAAACGGACTTGAGCTATTGGTTGAGCCTAAAGCATCTTGTGATCTTAGTGTCCAAAGTTGGACTAATACTACACCAGGAACCCTTAATTACTGCACAGGCACGTCACGACAAGCATGTTATGATGGCTGAAGACCTCAGATTAACCCGTCCTGTTATGCAATGACCACATGACCTTGTTTTTGTAACCCGGCTCAAAGTGTGGTCAAAAACACATCTGAGACATGCTCTCATAACTCCTGTTGTGTGACAGGCAAATATGTGTTTTAATCTCTAATTACATGCTACATTATTACACACACTCTCAGAAATCAAGATACGAAAGCTGTCACTGGGACGGTACCTTTTCAAAAGGAACACCTTTGTACCTTATTACCGTATTAGTATCTTAAAGGTGCATTTTAGCACCTGAAGTGAACATATCAGTACCTAAATGATGCATAATAGTAACTTTTGAAAAGGTGTCGCCCCATAATTAACTTTCTGAGAGTGCAGATGATAAACAGCAGCATCATGAACCTGTTATTGGTGAAACGGGTCACAGATGTTGCGTCGTTCCGTATCGCACACTTCGTCCTAGAGTAAATATTGACATCTGCACAACCAGAGCAAACCTGTGCACTGAAAACAGCATAATTAATACAGGCGAGCGGCGTGTCAATGATTAACTCCTCTGAGGTCATGTCACGGTATAAAACACGGCACACATGCACCGAGAGCAGATCTGGCACACCGCAGCAGATATTGGCTTCAGCACATCTCTGGTTCTGCTATGAGAAGTCCGTGTTTGTTGGTGTTGTTGGTGAGTGTCCTCGTCTGTCCGGTGGATCTTTCTCCGGTGATCGGGCCTGAACCCATCCGCTGCGCTCCATGCTCTCCGGAGCAGCTGGACTCCTGCCCCGCCGTGCCCTCGGACTGTCCGGAGGTGCTGCGAGAGCCGGGCTGCGGATGCTGCTCGTCCTGCGCACTGAAGAAAGGAGAGTCCTGCGGTGTTTATACGGCTCACTGCGGCGCCGGTCTGCGCTGCGTCCCGAGACCCGGCGACCCACGGCCGCTGCACGCTCTGACCCGCGGACACGCCGTCTGCACTGAGGACGACCACACAGAAGGTGCCTTTCTGATTAGTGAGTGTGTGCTCAACAGGTCATTGGTCACAGGACTCATGTTTGTCTCTGAATGTGTTTCTAGATGAGCCGGACATCACGTCTGACCAGGGCTCCCTGCATTACCTGCTGGGCCTCAACCGGCCGCTGGACCCGCGGGACGCAGCGGAGGCACAGGAGAGCATCAAGGCCAAAGTCAACGCCATCCGCAAGAAACTGATCCAACTGGTACTGAAACCAGCAGATCCAGTAATGGTTCAGGAAAGAGCTTCACATTTATTGGCTGAAGCTGTTGAATTTCTACACTTTTAAAGCTGTTTGCTTTGTATTTGTGAAAGGAATAGTTCACCCAAAATGTATCTACACTCAACAAAATTTAGGCCTAAATTTAAGATTTATGTATTTGAATTGCATATAAAATGTCCATCCTTTTGGATTTTACAGTTTTAACATAAACTAATAAACTTAAATGTTACATATTTGTCACAGGGTTATTAAAGTTAAACTACAACTATATATAAAAAAATGTTAACTGAAATAAAATGAAACACTTAAACTTATTTTATTTCAGGTAGTTGCCAAAGCAACATTTCTCAGTAGTTTAACGATGTAGTTAAATAACAAACTGAAACGCAAATAAAAATTTATAGAAATATATAGACACATTTAAAAAAAAAATAAAAAAATAAAAATGGCAAAAACACACAACAAAATTACTACAATTTTAGTTACAATTAACATTATTTTATGTTTAAAATTGGTTTTATTAAAAAAAAAAATCTAATTCAAAATATTTAAAAAACACCTCTATACTAACATGATGTTTTACTGTTTTGTCGGTCATACATTAATCATATTTCTGCACTCAAAAATGTTTTTTAATTAAATAATTAAAAACTCATGAGTTTATTATTTTTATCTATTTGATTTTCAAAATCCATTTATTCAAATTGCTTAGAATCAGCATAAATATGTTCATTGTAAAATCAATAATTAACTTAAATGTATGAGACAAATTAGATTTATTGATGATAAATACATAAACCTGGTTATTGTATATTTAAGACACATTTAGCTTATTAGGACTATTACAGAAATCTGATCAATCAATCACAAATGGATGGGTATGTAATTCAAATACACAAGTCTTAAGTTTTGGCCTAATATTTTTAAGGTGTACTCGCCATCTGTGTTCCACTAATTGTCGTTCCGGGGTTTGTACTTCTGATTGAGCCATGACGTGTTTCTGTGACTTCTCTGGCTAGGGTCCATGTCACACTGAGCTGCACGCGGCTCTGGACCTCATCGCTGAATCCCAGCAGACTTTAGGAGAGAAGTTCACCAGC